TGCGCGAGTGTTTTGGTGTTCTTTCTCTTTTGTATCATAGTCAAACATAAAAGCACGTTCCCTGTTGTCACAAATATGAAACCCCGGCAAAAATGAACCAATGAATACGAACATCTGAATTATGACATTTCTGTCGCTTTCCTTTCTCTGCCGTCACAATATGTAAACCCCAGCAAAAATGAGCCAATCAATGGGCATGCTCTGGATAGCGGGTAACTAATACCCGAACTCCAGTTAACGCACTGTGCATGTACATGTATACGATTTAACCCAGACACATTTTCAACAGGAAGGTCTCCGAACTATGATACAAGAATTATCTTAATTCATAGATTTTGCAATTAGAGATAGTCTCGAAGCTTGTGTAAATCATAAATTAAACTTACAGTCGAACTTCGTTCGCTCGAACTCGGAGGGCCTGTGCAAATTTGTTCGAGAGATCGGTAGTTCGAGCCAACCGAGGTTCGAACTATTATTAGCGTTGATCATATGTCTAAAGTTTTCTAGCATACATCGGTCGAATGATAAAACTACGTAAATATAATTGTTTTTTTAGTACATCTGTTTGTTCGTCGAATATGTCATATTTCAGAAATTATTAATCCCAGTTAACGGTACGTTGTGTTTAATCTATATTCATGCATATTGTAATTTCGTTTCTGAGTTCCGACTGAGCAAATCAGAACCAAACTGTGTTGAATCATGTTCAAATATATTTATATGTTATAATAGGATGTATTTAATAAAAAAAATTAATTTAATGGAATATTTAAGAAAAAGTTTTTACAGCAGCATTTATTTGTAGTCATTTACTAAAATAAACACACGGACATCGTATCAATCTATTAAAAGATAACACTGTTACATGAACTACGGTTGTAATTAAAGCTGTCCATGTAAACGTCATTCTGTATTGACTTTTGCATATTTCACTTATTTCACGAGTTGATTTCTTTTTATCGTTACCATGAACGGCAAATCAACAATATTATCATAACAAACAAATCGGTTACAACACCTCTTATTTTATATCAATTAACCTTAATTGCCTTGTCTTTTTGTGTTCGCCGAAAAGGTGTGATTTTCACTATATATCTGCCCAAGGGACCAGAGATCAGGTTTGAGAGTTCGAGCGATAGGTGTTCGAGCGATCCGAGGTAGAACAATATATATTATATAGGAATTTTGCCGGGACTGGGCGATGAGTTCGAGCGAAGGGAGTTATTCGAGCGATCCGAGTTCGAGCGAACGCCGTATATACCGTGAAGAAACGAAGCATGCAGAAATGACAATGAATAACATAACATAGGCATGAATTTCTTTATTAAGTTTTGTTCTTTATGGTTTATCTCGATTCAAATTTATTACTTAAGAAAAAGAAAAAAAGTTAAAAGCTACAACGCAACGATGACTTTAAGCTTGAATTACTTTTCACTTCACGGCGTTAGCGTATCCGTTTTCCCATTTGCTTCTTTGAAAATAAACAATTTGCGTTATCATAAATTTGTTATACAGCACCTCGGGTCATATTTATTTAATTCTGGCTGTATTATCCCGTATATCCCGTTAGCAACTTGTGTAACTAATCGTAATATAAGCGGATCCGAGCCGTTGGGCAAGATAATAACATTGCAATATGGATGATAAAAAGTCTTAAAAACCAATTCATTCAATTGCACAGTTACTTTCTTTGATTAAAAAGAAAATAATACACAAGTTTGTGGCAGTCCTGTTCTAATGGAAAAAAGAAATGAACGAATGGAGTGCTATCGGTGAATAGTTTGATACCAGGTGACCAAGAAAACAATAGAGTCGCGATCACGTAGAAATATAATACAGCGGTAAAAGGTAGATTTGAGTTCAGAATCATACCTAAAGAACGGGATGTTTTACAAAATGACAATGCAAAGAACCCCCCCCCCCCCAAAAAAAAAAAATCGTAAAAAATGAAGGTTCTCAGACTGGAAAATAGTTAATTAACATGTCATGAATCTGAATTATATCAGATCTACGCCATGTTTAAAATATCAACAGCTCTTCCTGATATTCAGAGTATGCCATCTCAGTGTTCTTTCTGTAGATAAAGTTATCGTGATTGAAAAGAAAACATGATTCGGAAGCATGATTGTCCACATGGGTATAATGATGAAAATCTGTATACAGCAAGCGTTTGAAATGTTACTTTATTATATTATTATAGACCAAACTCAAAATAAAACATCACCAGCAGTAGCTAGTGATATACCTGTACAAAACAAAATAATCTCTTTTAAATTGCAGACTTGCACACATAGTGTTTTATAATACCCCAACGGGTTGACTCTTTATTATATATGTATATGTATATATGAGGTATGAATGATTCACTAAAAAAGGGAGAGAAAAGAGAATTGAAGTTCAGATCGAAATATTTCAGGATTTTATCTATTAACAAATCAGATGAAAACATTCAATATAATTTTTTATTTGCGTGTGTGGACGGTCGATGTGATAACATCGGTATTTATAGTTAATAAAACACGCAAGTTTTATACATTGACTTTACCCGAGAAAAAAAGTAAAAGTAATACACGTATTTACAGTGATACACAATTGAATCAGGTCGAACATTCTAGCTCACCCGGGTGGAAAACATTTCGAGTATAGAGATGAAAGGCGACACCTTTATTATCTCCCTTACGTTAACCATATTCATATTTTATATTATCGCAATATATATAGATCGTTTTAACTTACATTTAGAACTTAGAGTTTGTGTAGAAAATCACATGCGACCAAAATGTTTTAAATTGTGAAGTCAGTTACAACAAAGAGGGTTAATATTCTCTAGAGACTCGATTTCTCAACTTGCATCCATTTTCATCAGCAATATCTTGCCATAGCCGATTACCTATAGCTGTAGTTATCTAATTGCCTCAGGTGACACGAGCGTCCGTTTCCTACTGACATGTTACACTATCTTAAACTATATAGACTGTTCTTCAAAAGAAAAAAAAATGAAAAAGTCATATAATGCATATCTATGTGAATATGAAATCCAGCACGGAATGTTACCTCATTAGATCAATGTGTTTCGTTCCATCATCGATACAGTGATCTATCATATAAGCAGTATTAATTATTGGCGGGAAATGGCGACATCTTGATTTCATGCAATATACGCATTATATATTTTTACAGGATGGTCGGTAAATCACTATGATCTATCAACACGTTATGCCAGTAGTCTTGTTGCTGTGACGTCAGCAGTGGGATCTCTAGGAGCCATCATTGTACCCTTAGCAACAGGAGACCTTACTATGCAACAGGTGATCATACTATCTTTAAATCGACATGTTATAGATAATTTGACACAAACATTTTTGGTAATAAATACAGTCAAACGTGACTGCAATGCGTTGGAAATTGGTTGATTTCATTACATCAAATATAACTGTAAAAATGCTAACAATATAAGTCTCATTACGAATTTTGTAAATGTGACATTGTGTTTCGTTACAAATTTCATGTGTATTTATTAAAGAAAATATATATGAATGTAAATTGTCATCATTTTTTTTATATCAGAAAGCCTTAGTAAGTTACAAGTTTAAAACATCATTAGTTTGAGGAAAAATCTACAAAAACACCAGCTTCTTTTGTCTACTCTGAGGAATTTGGATAACTGTTAAAGTTACAACAAAACTTTCATTTTGGGAAAGTGTAATATTGTTTATTCATTCACTAAATAAAACCTTGGGATTTCATTTAAGCATATTTTTAGTTTTTAAGACTTTTTGCATTTATTTCAGACGGTTGAAAGTTGGGATAGCGTGTTTTATTTGACAGCATCGTTGATAGCCGCTACAGTTGTGTTTTATCTTATATTTGGTTCAGGTGAATAGTCATTTATTGATAATAATAAAACATGTTATTATATAAAATTGGTAATCTGATGAAAAAGCAGTAAATATACATTTGAGAAGCAAACAGCTCATGAATATGGTGCGGATTTTTTAATTGATTCCGGAGAAATTCTTGCTTGGTAAAACAGAATGGCCGGAATATACCTACATGTACTATAGAATATTGGAATATAAATACCAATGCATTTGTGTTGATTTTTAACTACTGTTTATTAATCTCAGTGTAACAAAATCTTGATTCACATATAGAACTACATGTATAATACAATAACTGTTGATACCATAATCTCTGATGTTCATCAACATCTTCATCATCGACCTCTTTCTCAACGTCATCATCTTTACTATCATCATCATTACTTGAGTCGTCCTCATCGGTATGTCTGTCGTCGTCATCATTGCCATTATCATCAATATTATCATCATCAGCCTCTTCTTCATCTTCATTATCATCAACATCATCATCGGCCTCTTTTTCTCTATGATTAATATTATACTTATGTTTTACAGGGGAGCAACAACATTGGTCCAATCCTCCAGCTAATATTTGTCTCATCCAGAAAATAGACCCGCTAGCCCGGAAACCTTACGGTACATATTCGGTACAGAAAAATACTGTAGACAATAAAACAGAAACCCCTGTGCCAGGTGACAGCGCGATTAATAGACCATTTAACTTATATACCGTGCAGGGAAATATTGACAGTGAAGATAAAAATCTCGGTCTAGGTAGTGCCATTTCAAACTCTAACATTGATAACACCAAAAAGAAATCTGAAAATGAAGATAATAATGACTCAGATCAACGCAGTCATGACGTCATACCGGATATGGATAAAACAAGATCATAGTTTTAGAATTTAGATATTCTTTTCTCTAATTATAATGGTATATTCAGCACTTATCTAAATCAGGATCTTTGGGCGAAAGTTCCTGACATTTTAGGTATCGTTCACACGACTAAAAGACCCAAATCGTGCAACATGTCTATGAATTTGGCTGATTTCTCTCAAAAGAGCTGAAGAAAAGACAACATAAGTAAGTGTTTTGACACACTACAGTACTTTTCTCACCATCGGAAACTGAACCATTTTTATGATAAGTATATTTTAAGATATACATGTATTAATTGTTACGACGTATTTAGTCCAAAAAAAGAATTCTTGTATCAGATTTATCTGTCAAAGAATAACAGAAAACATAGATCAATGTCGTTTCTGAATCCTACTTGGGTAGATACTACTAAACTATTATGACACACAAGTTAGTGAGTAACAGTAAAAATATCATACTTACGAAAATACTGTTAGCCGAGGTTAACAGTATTTTTACGAGGGATGATAATCTGTTACATGTACTTGCAAACTTATATTTTTTTACCCCACACACATTCTTCATTGTGACACTGTTTCTTTAGGCATTTATTGTTCAGGTTTTTGCTGTGAAATCGTACTGTTACTGATACTATGTAACAATAAAAAAATTTTGTCACATGGTTCACTTGAATTAACACTTAGAATAACTTCCATCAATTGGCCTTTGGTAAATTAACATTACAAAAAGAGTGAGTGGTAATAAAAATAACATCACATCATTCATTTATAATACCTGTTTCACAGACAGACTATACATAGCTGTTCCTTATGCATTTTTTCTTACAAAACCCAAAATTGATAAATATTATTTTGAGTAGACTGGTTTATTTTGCATGGGCTGTCTAACATATTTCATTTTAAATGTCAACCTTACAGTAAAAATTATGAAGGATAATTTTCACTATAATGATTTGATACCGGTATATTCAATATTTACAATGTACAAATCATTAAATTAGTACAAGTGGATACGGTCCGTAGTTTTATTACCTTGTATTTCCAATAGGAATCTCTCAACCTTATCATTTTTGTATAAAACGATGGGAAAATGTTAATTTTTAATGTGTAAAAGTTAAAGTGAATGACAAAATATAAGCATACGTTAGTTTAGATAACAATCAATGTGAAAATTTACTTTTATTCGAATCCTTCTTTGTTTTGTTTAAATAAAAATATATAGTTAAATTTACAACAAATCAACTTTGTTATCTTTGAAACACATTGACGGTTTACATATGATTATGATGTTTCCTGTTTTAACAGGTAAAAAGTAGCAATTCTTTGTTTTTATTCCATAGTTTCTCTATGCTGGTTGTAAGGATTAAAGAAAACAAAAACATTTTATGGTTTGTAGAAAGCATATTCCAAAACTGAGACTTGTTGTGCGCGAACTTTAAAGTTTCCAAGTTTGACTATTTTTGGGCATAATGTCCTGTATGCATGATTGCCCAATAATTGGTATTTCATGGTATGAAGTACATAACATGAGTATATGATAATAATAAAAATGTAGTACATTTCATGCTGAAACGACTGCTATTGTTAATGGATCACTTATTTTTATTTTAATAACACAGCTATGCTATTATCTGAATATAAGGCCGCGACTTCAGCAGGAGTTTTGTTGGAATGATTTGTAGCAAATCTGTTTGCTCCAGCACTCAGCAGTAATCGGATACTTTCATGAAAATTGGCATCAATTGAATTGTCCTGTAAGTTAATTTTATCATTTTTATACAGCAGACCACGTGACGCTGCTATATGCAATGGCGTATTCAGATCACAATCACGTGATTCAGCTGTTATACCACGTGCTAATAAAATCTTAATTGCTTCAGCACTTCCAGTGGCTGCCGCTAAGTGAATTACATACCTTCCATCACTTGTTCGTACATTAGGATTCCCGCCATGTTCTACCAGATAAATCATTGTTTTGAAATGCCCATTGGCTGCTGCCTTTGTCACAGAGTTTTCTGCTTCAAATTGGCAAGTTTTGTTGATACAAGCACCATGCTGAAGCAGGATTTCTACTATACACTGATGTCCATTGGACGATGCTATATGTAAAGCTGTCATACCAGTATTGTCATACAAATCTACTTCCGCGCCATTTTCTAGAAGCAAGGTACAGAATATAGAATGCCCCAATAATGCTGCTTCTGTGAGAGGTGTATGATGAGACAGTGAGAAGTTTAAATCTATACCATCAGCAATCAGTTGTTTTACCTGCTCTTCATCATTTTCCAATATAGCAGTAGTTAATTCAAAACATTTCAATGGATCATTCCTATCCATAACAAAATTGAAAGCTAAAAATTGCTTTAAACCTTTGGCGATTGGAAGGCGATTTATTCCTCGAAGAATATTTGTGGATATTGCTCTTCTGATAACAAACCTACATATTTCCTGAAGACGGCTTGGAGTTTTCATGACAAGGAATTGCTCGAAATAATACTTGTCATGTGGTTCAATGTTCTTGTAGTGTTCTAAATATCTACATATCTCTTGCTCTAATTCAGCATTTAAACATACAACATGCAAAAGAAGCCCTAACAAAGTTTTTCTCGTGAATTTAGAAGTCGTAAAATACCTTGATTTATCAGTACTAAATCCCTTTAGAATAGATATCACCGGATGTATTTTTGGTTTGATTATATGAAAGTCATATCCGTACAGTAGAAGAACTGTTGCTACATCATAACGCTGTATGTTTGGTTGTA